CAGCTGAAGTGGCCTGCAGTACTGCACCCTAACCACTGCGCCACCTCGGTCCTCGGTTCTCACTGATCAAATCTCAATGACCAAACCTCATTGATAACTCCAGGATTTGAGGGTTAGATAAGCTTCTCTGAAGACACAAAGGTTATTGTTTGGCTTCAGATTCACTTCCTCTCACTGTGTATCTTGTACAGTAATAGACTTCTGTGTCTTCGGTTTTGAGGCTGTTCATTTGCAGATACAGCTGGCTTTTGGCATTGTCCCTGGAGATGGTGAAGCGCCCCTTCACTTTGTCTGAGTAGAATTTTCCACTGGAATCGGTATAGATATATGAAACCCATTCCAGTCCTTTCCCTGGAGCCTGCCTCACCCAAATCATCCCATAGCTGCTGAAGGTGGATCCAGAGGCTTGGCAGGAGGGATGGAGGGGTTCTCCAGGGCTTCTCACATCTCCTCCCGACTCCACCAACTGCACTTGAGATTGGACTCCTAAAAAGAAAGGAGCTTTTTTAAATAGATATCTTGTATGCAAGAGGAGAACATAGAAATCAACTATGTAGTGGCAATAATTACCTTTGAGGACTACAAATATGGACAGAAGGTTTAGCCACATTTTTGCTCCCTGTAATGAATAGATGAAATTGATAGGGGAGGATTCTGGAAATAGCGCAAGGTTTATGTTGTTGGGTGTTGTCCTAAAAGTAAATTGGGCAACTTTAAAGCGGAAATTGTCTCTTGATTTGCATATCTGTGGGGATAAAAGAGTCACAAGGGGCCTTGATTAACCCTTAACCACAGACATACTATTTTGGCTACGCTATTACAGACAGAATAGCTGCATAGTCCATTGATTGGAGAACATTATTGTAAACTAACCTTGACTATACATACTTTTGTTGGCAGGGTGATGTCTCTGCATGGAAATTTGAAATTCCCTTAAACATTCTAGGCAGTTTCCCTCCTGAAAAACACAAACAATTGTATCAAAATCCTCAGCTTTGTAGTCAAGATCAAAGGGCCCCTGAGATGTGAAAGTCTCTTGAGAGAACATTCAGTGAACTCTGACAAAAAATAAAATAACAAATTGTCACATTTTTCAAAATGAAGAAATATCTCAAAATGCTTTTTTTATTCTCTACCCCACCCCCATAGGCCATGGAGTTTGGTGTGACAACATTGCCCCCTGATGTCCAAAGTGTGGAGAGGACACAATCTTCCTAATTCTCTGAGGAGATTCTTTAGGTCCAGATGTTTCCTCAATATTTGTGTGGCAGTTTGGATATTTAGAAAGATCATCCTCATGTTTCACTTCCTATCTTATGCCAGGATTCTCAGGGCTGCCTTAACTCTTGGGCCTGATGGGCTGTTGCCTGAGGCCCCCCAAGCATAGGGGCCCCATACTAATCTGTGTATGTTAACCCTTCGATGCATCTTGTATCATATAAGAACATCAACTGTATGGCTAATTGAGTATTATTGTGTTTTTCAAGCATTGTGTATTGTTCAAATGTTTATCATGTTGATAAATTGTTGTGGACTGCATATATTTACTGTTTCAACAGTGATTTTGTTCGAAGTGCCAAAAAATAAATATATGTTTAATTTGAGGGTGGCTCAGTGGCTAAGACACTGAGCTTTTCAATCAGAAAGATTTGGAGTTTGGTTGTTCGGAGTCATAATACTGTCCAGACATCCCTGCTAAATGGATAGGAAAGCATTTGGGAAAGTGCAGAAAAAGTTGACTGGCAGGGTGACTTTGAGTTGGTTATTCTCTCTCTCAGCCCAACCCACCTCACAAGATTGTGGTGTAGAACTTGGCCAGTTTACCTGCCTAAAGCTGGACATGGAGTGCCTCTTGCAGCCTGGGACATCAATCCATATTTCTACCTCTAGTATTTCTGTTGGGAAGAGCAACAAAGTTTATTAGGGGATGGAGGCTAAACCATATGAAGAAGGGTTGCAGAAAATAGGTAAGTTTAATTTAATGAAAAGGAGGACTAGGGGAGACATGATAGCAATCTTCCAATATCTCAGGGGCTGCCACAAAGAAGAGGGAGTCAATCTATTCTCCAAAGCACCTGAGGGCAGGACAAGAAGCAATGGGTGGAAACTAATCAAAGAAACAAGCAACCTAGAGCTAAGGACAAATTTCCTTAATCAGTGGAACCACTTGCCTCCAGAAGTTGTGAATGCTCCAATATTAGAAGATTTTAAGAAGATGTTGAAATATGGATTGATGTCCCAGGCTGCAAGAGGCACTCCATGTCCAGCTTTAGGCAGGTAAACTGGCCAAGTTCTACACCACAATCTTGTGAGNTCATAGTAATAACTCCATGAAAAAATAATCATTTCATTTTGTTTGCATTTTAATCAAAGATTTGAAATTTATTGTTGTTAGTTGCAAAGTCATGTCCGACCCATCCTTACTCCATGGACAACATTCCTTCAAACATTCTGGTCCTCTACCATCCTCTGGAGTCTATTTAAGCTCATGCCTATTTCTTTGGTGACTCCATCCATCCACCTCATTCTCTGTCACCCCCTTCTTCTTTTGACCTCAATGTTTCCCAGAATAAAGCTCTACTCCAGTGAGTCTTTCCTTCTCATTAGGTGGCCAAAGTATTTGCGTTTCTTCTTCAGGATCTGGCCTTCTAAAGAGCAGTCAGGGTTGATCTCCTCGAGGACTGTCCAGTTGGATCACCTCGCAGTCCAAGTGACTCGTAGGAGTCTTCTCCAGCACCAGAGTTCAAAGGCCTCCATTCTTTAGCGCTCAGCCTTTCTTAAGGTCCAACTTTCAAAGCCATCCATTGAAACTGGGAAAACCATAGCCTTGACTATATGTTCTTTTGTTGGCAAGGTGATGTCTCTGCTTTGAAATTTGAAACACCCTTACACATTCCAGGCAGTTTCCCTCATAAAAAAACAACATTTTTTTCCTCGTTTTTGCCCTTCCCAGCCCCCAGGAGCACTTTGCAGGCCTCCCAAATGCTCTGCAGGTCCATTTTTGTGAAGAGGGCAGAGTTTTGGGAGGCCAAAAATGCTGCATTCAGTGTATTAGACACATCCAGATTTTCACCCTCTTTTTTGGGGGAAAAAGGTGTTTCTTACACTCGGAAAAATACAGGTAGTTAATTAGCTCTTAAGACTCCTAGTAAGAAGACATGATTGCTCCTTTAATCTTTATTTTGTTTTATGTGAAAAATGTCACCCCAGTCCTTCTTTTTTATTACATTAGCCATAAACAAGTCCTTCAACTATTCTTTCACATTTTAGCCTCCAGATGCCCATCACCTTTTTGCTCTTCTCTGCCCTCTTTCCAAAGTCTCAATATCTTTTTTTTATAATGTAGTCACCCAAAGTGGATGCATCATTGCAGATGTGATCTCACAAAGGCTTTTTAATGTGATGCATCATGTAATCTTCATTCTATCACTCTGTTAATGCAGCCTAGGGGTGTCCTGGCTTTTAAACAGACTGATGAACTTTGCCTTTTTCATTTTCTTACAGCAAACTCTGTGATATCTAGAATGGAACAGTCCTTCCTGAAGCTCTCAGTAGACAGTTATCAATCCTGATTAACTAATCCAGGATGTGGGGCTCCATAAAGTTGAAGAGTGGAGAAAGGAAGGTTTTTGTTTGGCTTCAGATTCACTTCCTCTCACTGTGTCTCGTGCACAGTAATAGACAGCCGTGTCTTCGGTTTTGAGGCTGTTCATTTGCAGATACAGCTGGCTTTTAGCATTGTCCCTGGAGATGGTGAAGCGTCCCTTGACTTTGTCAGAGTAGTAAGTGCCAGAAGCAGTGTTTATGCGGGACACCCATTCCAGTCCTTTTCCTGGGGCCTGTCTCACCCAGTCCATCCAGTAGCTGCTGAAGGTGAATCCAGAGGCTTGGCAGGAGAGACGGAGGGACTCTCCAGGTCTTCTCACGTCCCCTCCAGACTCCACGAACTGGACTTGAGATTGGACTCCTGAAAGAAAGGAGCTTTTTAAAAAGATATCTTGTATACAAGAGCGGAACATTAAATAATATATATATATAGTGGCAATAATTACCTTTAAGGACTACAAGTATTGACAGAAAGTTTAACCACATTTTTCTCCCTGCAATGAACAGATGAAATTGATAGGAGAGGATTCTGGAAATAGTGCAAGGTTTATGTTGGTGGGTGTTGTCTTAAAAGTGAATTGGGCTCCTTTAAAGGGGAATTTGTGTCTTGATTTGCATATCTGTTGGGATAAAAGAGTCACAAGGGGCATTGATTAACTCTTAGCCACAGACATACTATTCTGGCTACGCTATTACAGACAGAATGACCACTCTAGCTGCATAGTCCATTGATTGGACCACAATATTGTAAACTATAGCCTTGACTATACACACTTTTGTTGGCAGGGTGATGTCTCTGCATGGAAATTTGAAATCCCCTTAAACATTCCAGACAATTTCCCTCCTGAAAAACACCAACAATTTTATTAAAATCCTCAGCTTTGTGGTCGAGATCAAAGGACCCCTGAGATGTAAAATTATCTTGAGAGAACGTTCAGTGAACTTTGACAAAAAAAAATATGTCATATTTTCAAAATGAAG